GGGTGCCGCCCGCCCCAGCGCCTCAGAGGGGGCCCCCAGCGACTGCAGCCCCAACGGCTCCAGGTTTTGCAGCTCCAGCGACTCTGGCAGGGGCTCCAGGCTCTGCGAATCAAGCAGCTGGGGCTGCGACTCGAGGGATTGGGAATCCAGCAGCCGGGACTGGGAGTCCAGCTCTTGGGCTGGCAGCAACTGGGGCTGCGGCTCCATCGCCTGCGACTCCAGCAGCTGCGGCCCCGGGCACGCCAGGGAGGCCAGTTCGTTCAAGATGTCCGCCTCAGCCAGGTCCGAGTAATCGCCAGCGTCAGGCTGGGAGCAACCGGCTTCCTCTGCTGGCGTTTTAGAGGCCCCTCCAATGCCCACACTGTGGCCAGGGGGCTGAGGGGCGCTCCCCCCGCCACCATCGGCTTCTCCATCACGGGCTGGGGGCCGAGGGTGCCGCGGCGGCTCAGTTTTGCAGAGCACCCCCCGTTCCTCGGGGCTGCGGATGCTGTTGGCCAGGGAGGGCGAGGAGAAGAAGCTGTACTGGAGGTCACGGTCAGCAGGCAGGAGGCGGCTGTCCTCGTGGCCACCCCCACCACCACTGCGGAGGCTGCCGCAGTCCAGGTGCACCCCGCTGCTCTTGAGGTCCTCGGAGAGGCGGTTGAGGTCCTTCATGATGTCGATGAGCTGCACCACGGGGTGGAGGTTGATGTGCCCGTTGCCGCACTTGCTCTGGAGCAAGGCGAGGATGCTGTCGATGTTGCAGCGGCCTGAGGCCAGCGTCGCGTTGGGGAAGGTTTTAGGCGCCCGATCGCAGGCGGCTGCCTCCTCTGCGCTGCCCCCCAGGATCCGGGGCTCGCCAGCACAGCCCAGCAAGTCCTCTGCTGCCTTGGTGCCCCCGTGCACGCTCTGGCACCGGTCGGCCGGGTCGCCGTGCAGCAGCGAGCCTGCCTGGTGCTCCCGGCCAAGCGCAGGGCACGAGCCCTCAGGGAAGCTCAGCACGCTGCAGGATAAGGCCTTTTCCGCCGGGCAGGCCGGGGGCCGCTGTGCCGGGTGCCCCGGCGGGTAGAACTTGGGCTCTCGGACGTAGTCGGGCGAGCCGCGCACAACGCTGGTCGTTACCACTGGGCCCGGGGGCTTCACGCGCATCCTGACCTCCTCCTCCCCCGCGTGCCGCTTGGCCGAGCAGTTGCTGACATGGGGGTCAGGGAAGGTGAGACCGGGACCTGCGTGGGGCAGAGAGGGGGGACAATGAGGCTCCGAGGGCAACTGCCGGCCGAAAGCAGCCGCAGTGCCTGCTCCATCCCTGCTGCCCACATTCGCCCGCCCAGCTTATCCCTGCCCCATCACCAGCGAGGACACGGCTGGCACCGTGGGAACCTGCTCCCACCATCCCCAGCCTCCTCCCTTGCCCACTGCAGGTGTGGGGAAATGGGGTCTGGCCTCCTCCCCTGCTCAGGGGGGCTGGAGACCCTCCCCATGGCAGGACCACCCGTGCCAGCCTCCGGCTCGCCCCAGCGCAGAGCCACCTCCCAGGGGAAGCGGGGTGGCTGGTGCCCGTGGGGGTCTGGGCTGCCCCGTCGCCCCCTGGGGCAGGGCTGGGGGGCCTGGGGGTGTCACGGGGTCGGGGCTGGGACTTACCCTCGGCTTTGCTGCTGCTCCTGCTATTGCACTTGAGCTCTCTGCAAAGGAAGGGGGGCAGAGGGTTAGCCCCGAGCGGGGCGGGGGGGACCTGGGTGCCCACCGCGCCCACGGCTTCTTCTCCGCGGCGCCAGTCCCTGCGAGGGACGTACCGGGGGCCGATCCTCCCGAGCTCCCGCGGCCGAGAGGGCAGCGCCCGCCCATCACCCTGGCGTCGGGGCTGCGAGCGGGGCGGGGGTGGGGAAGGGGGGGGGGGGGGGCCGCCTGCCGGCGGTGCCGCCGCTCACACCGGCACTGTCGGATCCCCTGACCTGTAATGCCACAAGAAAAAGTGCGGGAATCCACCAGAGCAGCCGCGTGCTGAAGCAGCAGATGATATTAAGTTTTCGATTAAAAGGCAGCTCGTCTTCTGGAGGAGCAGCTCCGTGTTTCGGCGGTGCCTTCCGGCAGACCCAGCATTGCTCCTGAGCGGCACCTCGCTGCCGCCGGGACAGGGGCCGTGCCTGGGAGCGCCTCTTTCCTTCTGATTTCATTTGCATTTCCCTGTTTCTTGTTAAGTTTCTGGCACTTCTCAAGGTTCGCTGCGTGACCTTCTAAATGACACACGCCTATTTATAACCCGCTGTCTGTGGCCCAGTGCCACTTCAAGAAGCCCTGGGAACGAAATCCAATAAACCGTTCCTTCATTAATATTGTATAGCCCACCGTATGCACCCACCGTGCAAGCTAAAGAGGGGATGCCACAGCCCATCTTCATCCCAGGCTTGTTTCCTTATAGAAAGCCTTGTTAAATATATATGCCGAGCCAGATTAGCTCATGGGGCAGCAGGTCCCAGCCCTGCGGTGCCCTCTCCCCCCGGGACCCCCGCTCCCGGCGCAGCCCCCGCTCCCCGTTCCCGGGGCGAGGGCCCCCCCGGGGTACCTGGGCCGCGGGTGCTTGCAGTGCAGGTTCACTTTGAATCTCCTGCTGTCGCCCTCGCTGCCGGGCTGGCAGGGGCCGGAGCCCTGGGCGCGCGGGAACCACTCGGCTGGCGGGCTGGCACCGTTCTCCAGTGCAATGGGCTGGCAGGCGACCGAGCTCCCATCTGCTCGAGCAAGCATAGAGACCCCCGCGTGTCAGCCTGACGGCCCCCTCCCCAGGGAGCACCCCCTGCCCCAGGCTGGCATGGGCGCCCGCGGGGCTGGACACGCTGTGTGCCCCCCGTTCATGCCTTCCCCTTGAAGCCACAGCCCACGGGGACACCCAGGGACGCATGCTGTCCCCTCCGCCCCGCAGGATGGGGCCCATCACAGGATTCCCTGGGCACGGGGTGGCATTTGGGGGCAGGACACCCCTTTCCTCCCCACCGTGGCCATGCTTTGAGCCAGGGGCTGCCCATCGGAGGCAGGGCATCTCCCTGCCAGGCTGCAGGAGAATGTGTGCATGCCTATGCATGTGCGTGTTCACACGGATGTGCGTGTTGCACATACGTGTGCATGCGGGGGCCCTTGCTCCCCCATGTGACACCAGTGTGCTGGGGGTCCAGGCACCCAAGGCAGCTGCCCATCCGGCACAGGGGTGCACGGCAGATCCCCCCAACCTGTCATGGTCCCCCATGCCTGCGCGTCCGCCTGTTTCCTCCCACCCAGAGCCGTGTGTGAATCCTGCCTGTTGGGCTCCCTCCCCCAGCACACACCCGTAGACACACACACGCAGCCGCTCGGCGTGATCCAGGGTCTTCCCTG